TAGTGTTCAGACCCTTATGCATTTTTAGTTACTTTGTAAATTTAGGGTACAAACGTTCACTTGATTCCAACTGGAAAGAAGGATTCTCACCGAGCAACTTCTAAACATGTAAAAAACAATACTAAAAACACCACTGTACAAAGCAGTTCATTCATTATCTTGTTAGTACCCATCCCATTAATTCACAGCATCCCAAAAGCATTGATAGTGAAATACCTGGTATGTCTCAATAGGCCTGTTCTCCATGTTCAGGTCCCACACCTTGACAGTGAGATAGTCCCTGGTCATGATGTACCTCCCACTGTGGCTGAACTTAACATCAGAAATTGAAGAGATGATCTCAGAAAAAAATGACCTGTTACTTGGGTCTTCGGGCTCTTCAAAAACTGTACAGGAAAAAAAAGAGCATAAAATATGCTTAAAGAAGAAGTCAGGCTTGGGTCAATATGATAAATACTAAATTATTCCTGTAGCATGGAGTCCACGCTGTGGACACATCTAATGGCAAATTGTTTATGTTTAGCATAACAATTGGATATAATAATAGTTGTCATTTTACAGAAAGGAATGGACCATAAATATCATATGGAGAATTCTGTAAGAGAAGCAATTGTCCCATTGAAATCAGTTGAACTCAAGTACAAATTTATAGAAACCCCACTGATTTGAATGGGAATACATGGTTACCTAATGTGCACTAGGGGTTCTATTACTGAAGTTATGCATTAATTTTTCTGCATGCTACCTTTTAGGTATTGACTGAGACAAGCTAGCAGCCTGTTAGGAAAAAAGTTGCTGGGAGCACTATGGTATACTATCATACAGTATATACGTACACACACACGTTGGGAATGCCCCTCTGGAATACCATAGGGCAGTGGGTTGTAAACTATGGGTTACAAATCTCTCACAGGTGGGTTATAAGGCCAGGAGGGTGGAGGAGGAATAGGGTGACTTGCAACAGGAGGTTCTGGGACATTCAAAGGCAAACTGCAAGTTGCTTCAATATAACAACCAAAATGGTAAATAAATAGAGCTGGTTGTTCAGTAATTACATATATTTATAAATACTAAACATGGATAATAGAATACATACTTGTTCAGTGTTACGTGATGAAAAAATTCTGTGTTGTATACTGGGGAAGCGGAAAGTCGTGTGCTATTAATTTACAAGTGGGTCTTCAAAACTACTGTAATTTAGAAGCAGGTCCCACTTCAAAAAAGTTTAAAAAACACTGCTATAGGCACCTCAGAAGGGCAATTACCTGTCATTTCTCCTCCCCATTCAATTAGCGCATGTTCATTCTTCATCAGACTATCAGTCCACATAAGAAGATCTTTACAAGGTCTTATTTTACAGCATACCTATAAAGGCCCCTTTTGCTGCCTTCATGACTGGTACTCAACCCTGAAGTTTGGTATTAGAGTGAGGGGGGGAAAAAAAGGGGAGGGGGGGGGGGGGGATAAAAGTGAGAAATTCCACCTCACACATATCAGCTCTGTCTCACTAGGATTTTATAAGGTCTCAGGTACATGGTCAAGCCAGTTTCTCTCAGTCTCTGTGTATTTTTACTTAACTGACTTTTGACTGCTCTCAACATTCCATGCGTGCTCAGTCTTCCTCAGGTCACTGGGGGATTTTTTCTGGTTAATTTACAAAGTCATATTTTTCTGTGCACTTGAGGAGTCAGCTAAGTATGGTTCCTTCTGCACTTGGATCTCATCCCTGGTTTTATCAGAGTACAACTCACGACACAATACCTTGCATTTATCCCTGGTTATAACAGCATCCGTTTATCCTGGGCCAAGTATGGGGTGAAACCAGGGTGACCTCAATGTAATGTGGTAACAAAAAGTAAGTAAAGGTAAAGGTAAAGGTTCCCTTGCTCGAAAGCCAGTCGAGTCCAACTCTAGGGTTGCAGTGCTCATCTCCGTTTCCAAGCTGAAGAGCCAGCGCTGTCCGAAGACGTTTCCGTGGTCATGTGGCCGGCATGACTAAACACCAAGGTGCACGGAACGCTGTTACCTTCCCACCGAAGTGGTACCTATTTATCTACTTGCAATTTCTTGCTTTCGAACTGCTAGGTTGGCAGGAGCTGGAACTAGAGATGGGAGCTCACTCCAAGATAATTACAGGGGTGAACTCGTGTGTAGTGTAGAATGTAAGTTTGGGGACAGAGTTGAACCAGGATTTAAGGTCTAGAGCAGAAAATACATGTGTTGTCAGTAGGTGGTCTGGTTTTATTGCTCTGTCACTATGGCAGGATGGCCTTACTGCCTTGTAAATGCAAGGGTACTATCTCTTTAGTCTTCCCCTCCCAGCTCACAGCCCGTTTAGGTAGCTGGTGCAGAAAGTCACTAATTGCCCCCTTCTGATAGCATGCCACCACCTTGGGGTAAAATCTCTCCCCCTCCAGTGTTGCCTGAGGTCAACACTAAAGGCGTGTGTTTTATTTGCGTACCTGAATGCAAGGTGGTGAATATGGAAGTTTGCAGACTCTTTAGTTCAATAACTTTATTACTACAAGGCACAAACTCCAGCTCCTGCCAACCTAGCAGTTCGAAAGCAAGAAATTGCAAGTAGATAAATAGGTACCACTTCGGTGGGAAGGTAACAGCGTTCCGTGCGCCTTGTTGTTTAGTCATGCCGGCCACATGACCACGGAAACGTCTTCAGACAGCACTGGCTCTTCGGCTTTGAAACGGAGATGAGCACCGCAACCCTAGAGTCGGACTCGACTGGCTTTCGAGCAAGGGAACCTTTATATTTACCTTACAAACTCAGGGAAGCTACAAGATAGATTCTTGGTACCACTAAAAATAAAAAAAAGTTACTGGCTACTTACTTACAATCCTGGAGCATTTGGTGTTTGTTGGTTGCATGGTGCTCCCACCTTCTGCACACCTGCAAGCATCCTCTGGTACCTCTTCTTTCATACCTCATTGCAACACACACATGAGAAAGTACTCTTCCACATCAACAACCACCAAAAATATGCCTCCAAACAAAGGAACAGGTCTCCTTTTCAGACCTCTTCCCACATGTACTTCTAGGGGCTTAGCCTGTCTGGGTGCCAGGTTCTGGAGCTCTAGGCCATCATAACATGGACCCTCTGATCAAGAAGTGTTAACACATCAAAGAACTAGTATGTTCTCCGGTGGTCCTGGTATTGGGTCAGTCCTTGACTCATTACACCTGGGATTAGCTCCTCCTCTCCACTTGCAGGGCCAGCAAACTTCGATCCTGGAGGGGAGGGGCTTGTCCTCTGGATCCCCAGTCTTACTGGCCCTGCCTCTGGAGCAGGACGCCTAGCTGTGCTCGTGGAGCACGAAGATCCTAGAAAGCAAATAGAAGAAGGAAGGAAGAAAGTGAGTTGTACAGGAGGTGGGGGAAGGTGTATCTGCCTCCCCACGCCTCCCAGACCCGTCTCTAGGGATGAGGAGAGCTGCTGCCAACAGCTCAAGGGGGCCCCTGAGCAGATGCAGCAGCCAGGAACCGGCTTTTGCTACCGTGCATGCTGCTAAGCCACCGAAATAATTTCCTTCTCCCTCCTACGGACGGTGGGGAGGCGCGAGAGAGAAGCGGAGGTCGGGAAGCACATAGGGGGGGGGGCGCGGCTGAGTCTGGCACGATCCCGTGCAGTGCTGGAGCCAAGTTCTTTTGCCCACAGGAACCAGGCTGGGCATTGTGGCTCCAAGACGATTCATCCTGTCTCAGCTGAATCACAGTAGGGGGGTGTTCAGTGGGGTGGGAGCCGGGCTGTGGTGGTCGGATCCGATGGACTGGTCTGGATAAGTCTTGAGAATGGAGGCTCCCCCCCCCCGGGTTTTCCTCCCTTTCCCGAGGCTTCTGCGGTCACTTTGGCTCTTTTGGGGGCATAGTTCTCCCCCTACAGTTATGGAGGGGGACAGTTTTGGGGCAGGCATCGGTTCTCCAGGAAGATGTTGCTTTATTCACACACATTTTGCTTCAATCGAGTGATAGTGTATTACTTTCACTTTTAGGCTCGCACAAGGGGGTCGAGTGATAGTGTATTACTTTCACTTTTAGGCTCGCTTCAAGCTCCCTTCCATTAGCTGACATTGAATCCACCCAAGCTTCCAAAATGGATCCCTTGGGTCTGGAATTATCAAGGGAGGAGACTCAGTCTACCCTTCGGTCTTGGCTGAAGGAGGAGTTAAAAAAGGAGCTTAGAGATTTATGGCGGCAGACATCCACTTCTCAATCCAAAAGGGGCAAGAGGCATAGACACAGCAGTTCTCAAGACAGCACCCCTCCTAGGAAGAAGGTTCCCTCGGGGGAGGGAGGTCATAGTCCTTTAGTGACATGGGAGAAGAGTCAGGTTCTGATACTCCAGGATTGGACGAGGAGGGAGAATTGTGTGAGGAGGAAGAAGAAGCAGTTCCTCAAGGACTGTATAATAAGTTGTTGTCAAAAGTCTTAAGGACACTGGAGCTCTCGTATACTCCTAAGACAAGGAGATTTTCCAGTTGGGTCTGACAAGGCCATTCCTAAGCCTAATGCCAAAGCAGCGGGAGTATCTCTACCAGCGACTTTCTATAACATCATGATGACTGAATGGGAACACCCTGCAAACCCCAAGGCTAATACCCCTATGACTGCTAAATTGTACTCTCTTATTCCAGAAGCGACAAAAAAGCTTAAACTCCCAGTGGTTGATGACCCAATCAACTCTCTGTCATCTTCGTCTCTTCTGCCTATGGATGCCGATGGTCTTCCCAAAGACAATTGTGACAAATGTGTTAAAAAGGCACTGCATTGGGATTTTGAAGCATCTGCCAGTTCCCTGCGAGCGTCTGCCATGGGATCCTTGTTTGCCAGAGCGACCTACTCTTGGGCCTCAGATCTTACAATGGCAGAGAGTGGCATACCAAAGAGTTTGAAAGATGAATTAAAAAAGATTGCTTTGGCAACAGCCTTCATGGCGGATGCCTCTCTGGACGCATTCCAGTTAGCAGCTAGAGCCATAGCCAGTAGTGTAACAGCTAGACATAATATGTGCCTCAGAAACTGGGATGTTGACCCAGCAGCCAGAGCCAAAGTGGCGGCCGTACCATTCAAGGGAGTCAACTTGTTTGGTGCAGGTCTACAGAGATATGTCATTGAAGACAAGGACAAGAAAAAAGTGCTACCATTAAAGAAGAAAGATGGGAAACCTACGGGACATTTTCAGTCTTTTTGGGATTTCAGACGAGATGACAGACAGAATTACAGCAGAGCATTCAAGGGTAGATGGCAGAACAGCTCTAGGGATCCAAGACCCCAGCCTTTTTCAGGAAAAGCAGGTCAGGGTTCCAAGGGTTCCAAAAAGGAAACCACGGCATGACTTCGGCTGACATCTCCGGGAAGGTTCCAGAAGTGGAG